TCCTGTTCTCAAGATTGCCGGCAATGTTCAAAAAGCAGACAATCTTTACAGTCCATCATTGCAATTCAGCGGCCTCTGCCGCGTATCAGTCCAAGGACTGATTAGGCGTACGGCAAGCCGATATGTATTGCTCTACATTTCAGTGAGAGTACAGTTATTCTTTATTTTTTTCAAGGACGGAACTCTCGCCAAAACTTATGTTTAATACCTGTACGGTCGGATTCGACCCAGTTAATGAAACGATCATTAGTCTCACATTATTTCCATTATCGTTAAAATGTGGTAGGCCTAGGTGCGCCCTCCCCCGCCTCCGGTCTTCGTGACTCTGTCTTGACACCGGGCCCAGTTGTGGAATAGGGAGGAGAGAGTGCGGTAGATGCAGCGCAAGTCTACTGTCCTTACAAACTAATTCACGCCTGCTGTGCGTTGGTTTGTGGCACACGGCAGAAATCGCCGGAATCGACGGTCGAACTGTCATTCTCACTTAAATCTCTTAGCTGTATTCATCGGAGCCTATTTGTAGTGCCGTACACCAATCCCCCTGATGAGTCATCAATAACTGGAGGCAAAACGGCACAACAATGCCACCGTGCAGCCCAGCGTAAAAGCTAATTTTGACCCACCACTCGCCTGTTAGGCCTGGCGCGCACTGATTGGTCCTGCAGTCTGCATTTGCATACACGCTGGGTCCGATAATCAGTGCAGCCGTGGCAGTCCTAGAGACTATTGCAGCACTAAAAACAGGCACCTGTAGTTAGATTTGCAAATTGTTTTCTAATGTACTGCTACCAGCTCGCCAATGTGATTATGCGTATAGAGCGGCATTTTGTCGCAAGCCCCCGTATGTGATGGTTCATTTATAGGCAATTTTACAAACTAGAAAAAATAGTCCCTTTACGAGCATCGGCGTTAAGTCAGGAACGGCAGACGCCGAGGCTCGAGATCATGCATATTACTTTTGTACAGGATGGCAAACTGTGTTCTGCTGAACTTGACTTCTTACTGGCCTTGCTCGTCGCATTAGAATAGGCAACCGCCATCTTTTTCGGAATACTCTTGTTTGCATGAGTGAGGCGATTTGACATGAGTGAATTAGGGTTCGGGGTGGGAATAGTTGTTCATGATTGCGCACATAGACACTGAAGCCTCTCTGTGAGGTCAGTTTGATCGACAGGACGCCGGATTACGCTGGCAATAAACGAATGGTAGACATGCGTGGTCGCCCTTCTACAGTAGGTGGCCCAGCTGATGAAGTTTGGCCAGTCGCCATGGCCTAGCGAACCTGAATCCAATCCACACACATCCATTAAAACTACCATTTGTCCGAAAAGGCAAACATAAAGTTAAAATATGATCCCATTGGTTTATAATTATAGTTTTACAAAACGGGACGGAAATACCAAGATAACGAGATTTTATACAAAGTGAGTAACTTGGAATGTTAGAAGAACGAAATGTTTGTAAAGATTACTTAGTAAATAAATACGATGGGTAAAACAGTATTTTGACTACTGTTAACATGTAGTTTCCGAAAATATCCTCTCGGGTAAGGAAACCGAGGAAGGCCGGCTGGTCTTATGGTCCCTCTATAGTAAATTGCACATCCAGGAAGCCCAAGGAGCACGTTTGCACACGTCTTGGAGAAACTTAAGTAAGTTCTCTTCCAAACGATGCCATCCTATCCTTCATTTTTGCGCCCTTTTTTACTTCGCCCCAGAATTCGGCAGTCGACACTATCTAGTTCTTCCTGCAAAATAAATTCAAAAAACGAGCATCCACCCGGATAGGCCCCAATACTTCAGTTCCTGAAGTTCAGTCTTGAGACATGCATCACTTTCGACGAAAAAATCTACGACCAGGTGAAAGGTGCGAGAATGGCTTTAGCTGTCTCAAGGCCCGTAGCGTTGCTATTGTGTGTTCCCCTGGGAATTTCCACCCAAATCTTCGCACCTGAATTGAATCCGATAAACCC